CACAAGCCCTACCTTCTTCATCAAACAGAAACAAGTCCACGAAACAACAAAGCGGTTACACACAGCACCAAGTAAAAACCACCACACAAACAAGTGTATCACGTGCCGGTCAGTCGTACTTTTTTCAGGGAAGTTTGTAGCACTTAAATTTGAGCCGCATGGAAAGCACGCACTATTACATGGGGCATTCAGTTCCTTCAGGAATTTCTATGATGTACATAAATAAAAATACATTTATTACCAGCCCCCTAGCAGCTTCGGAAAGCAAACAAGCGGAACAGAACGCCCAGCCGATCTTAAGTTAACTTTATGCGTTTCGAGAAGGCCGGTCATGGTAGCCGAGCGGTCTAAGGCATGTACAGTCTTTGCTCGCTCGGAAGCAGAGATCATAGGTTCGAATCCAAAATAAGGCATCGATGTTTGGTATGTGTATGTTTTTATTCTGTGTCTGTGTTGTCCTGTGTTTAGGTAGAGGCCTTTTTGTATTGCTAGTGGGGTGGGACTAAGTTCCTTGTACTGCGGCCACTTCTGGCCTATTGTACCAGCCCCAGATGATAGGTGAGGGTAATTGTGGAGCAATTGGTGGAATGAAGATTGGCAGGGGAAACCGAAGTACTCGGAGAAAACCTGCCCCAGCGCCACTTTCTCCACCACAAATCCCACTTGACCGGGCCTTACGACGAGCTGATCACTCGTCCAAGCAGTCCTACAGTCTGCAAAATGATGAACATGAAAAAGCAACAACCTCGACAACGTAAAGGTATAGAGCAGGCATGTCCAGCTTCAAACAGGTTGTGATCCACTTTTTAGTGAGAAAACTGCCAGTGATCTACTAGCCCCTCCTATCTTCGTACCTCGCTTTAAGCAAAAATGTTGGTAAAAATAACACGGCACATAATGTTTGTTGTAAAAGCAACATACATTGAAAGTACAGACTACTTTAACACGTATTTTCCGGTCAAAATATGAATATAACCATATTATATTACAAGTGAATTTACATGCTTTTCACCTATAATTTCCTTATAGGCCTATGAGATCGGCCAATAATCGTCCCGCGATTGACGCGTTGGACATGCCTGGTATAGAGGATCGGATTAAGTAAGTTCAAGAAAGAAGGCATTATATGTACTTAGGCATTCATATTGGTTCATCTTGCGTGGGAACAACAGGACGATCTGCAGCAGAAATTCCATCGCGTCAAAAATCTGACTGACTAATCGTGCAGCGTAAGTTCTGGAAGCCGCAAGTTAATCCCGCGCTGTTCGCGTGTAAATAATTGCCGGTTAGGAGCTTAATTCTGCCTCAAGACTGCAGACACGTAAGTGAGGCCGCAGCTATGAATAACAATTCCGTTAATTAAATGTACAGAGGGACGTGTATCTCGCCGTTAACGAACGCTCTGTCAAGCAGTGATGTACAGAGCCACAGCGCTTGTATAATTAGGCACGGTACTCAAGCACAGCGCTATTATTCATTTCCCACCGAAAATGCAACTTAACTATTACAGTTCGACTTCCTAGGTTTGCCCCAATTTCTTCAAATTTACTCCTGATAATCCTCCAGCGTAGCCGGTCACGGTAGCCGAGCGGTCTAAGGCATGTACTGTCTTCGCTCGCTTGGAAACCGGGATCATGGGTTCGGATCCCACTCAGGGCATGGATGTTTAGTTTGTGTGTGTGCGTTTTTCTGTGTTTTTGTACAGGTAGAGGCCTTGCGACGAGCTGATCACCCGCACAAGGAGTCCTACCGCATGTGTAAGATCTAGAAAAACCGAAGTGAACGGAGAGTTCATGGAGGTAGGCCTAGGCCCACTGGGGCTGTAGTGCCAAGGAAAAAGAAATCCTCCAGCATGAATTTCTCCAAACAGCTTTCCCCATTTGACCGGACTGGACACTTTTCGTCAGCCCCTTCCATGGATTTCAGCGACAACCTTGAAACCTCTCTGTATAACAAACTTTCTGGCTCGACACTAAAACACACAGACATACTGACCGTCAGTCGCAATGTGACTTTGACTTTTAACGCCCAACCTTCATGGCAGGCATCCTGTTGTGTTATTTACGAAAAGATATAATTTGGGACAGTTGCAAAACAAATAAGTAAAAAAAGACAGACAATACTATGTCAACATTTGTTTTTATTCGTTGCTGGTGGTATCGCTATATGTTTCGACCCTTTTCTTAGGTCATCTTCAGGCGTACAGGAATACTATTTAATCAACATGAATTCATATTGTGTCTGACTATTCTACACCGACAATCTTATCTTAATTAAAAATGTAGTTTGAATATAGTCAAACTAGAAATTAAACTTGATATTAAATGGACAAAAATTTAAATTACAATTAAATTTATAATTAAAATGTCTATTAACGTATTTATAGTCAATATTACAAATTCCATTTAAACTTTGTGTCTGCTACATTTCGCATATGTGTTGTTTGTTGTTCTACTATGGTAGTGATATTGTGATGTCAGCTAAATGCTTGCTGGGCTCTTTCTTCAGAAAATACGCGTGTTGTTTTTCTTTTCTACCTCCCTATTATACGTGTGAAAGCTGACACGTTGTTCTGGGTATCCACTTCAGTTATTTATATGTGGACTGAAAAAAAAAACTCCGAGTCTTGAGTCCTCAAGCGAACTATACCAACCGAGCGACCGCCGCTTGTCGGCGAATTTAGTGCCAACTTTTGCGGATAGAGGGTGTCGCGTGGTCAGCGCAACGGATCCCCACGACCATTAATTTCGGTTTTCTTGACCGTAGCCGCTATTTCTTTGAAAGAGCTTCTCAATTATCATCACGAGGCTGAGTTGACCCCATTCCAGACCCACTACATCTCAGAAAATCTGGTAGCTCCGGGAATCGAACCCAGTCCTCTGGATCTATAGCCAGTAACTCTTGACACTAGACCACGGAGGCGGTTTATATGTGGACTAGGATGTTCCAATTGGATATGCAGATCCCCGTGGTGAATAGTATTGCAATGTTGGTACAGTAGTGTTTATTTTGTTTCTTTGTTGTACCACTGCCTCAAATTATATCTTTTCTTTATAACCCAACCAATCCCCTTACGAGACTGAGCGATTAAACACTCACAACACACCCACACGCCACTAAGCACGCTCTCCGTCTGTAAGGGCTTCTGCTTGTCCCATCTGTGAAAATGATTCAGTGCCTTTGAACGTTGCAGCTCCTGCCAATCCAAATTCTCCGCTCCACTGTGAATGTAGCTTTCCCATTTTGTACGTGTGTGATTTTATTGCGAAATTATATAGTCACAAAGCACAAGACATTCAGAATCGAGAACATGCAAATATTTGGAAAACGGGACAAGGTGAAGGCCGACAAACAAAATGGCAGCGGCGTTAAAGCTTACGGCCGTGGGAGTTGCCGCTACAGCAAAAGCTAAGGAAGATAAGACTTAATCTGCTTTACAAAGCCACCAATGACATAAGCCATGTCGCCGTGTACATACAGTAAACATATAAAGAAATGTATAACCTAAATATGTGCAGTGTGCATATTGTAGCGTGCAGAGCAATTGCTGTGCTTCGAAAATTTTATGGACTGATAATATTGTGAAGGTGCAATAATTTGGATTGGATGGGGGTATTAATGGGCGTTTGTGAAAACGGAAAGAAACCTTCGAGTTTCACCGAAGGTGAGAAACGTCCTGACTTGCTAGCTTCTATGGACACCTTTGTGTAATAGACTCCACTCTCTTAACTTGGCTTTCAAATTTTTCACTGTCCTCATGAACTGAATCAATAGATTCCTGACGAAGTTAATAATTACATTTTCGTAATACTTCTCCAAAATTAATTTTTAGATGATGTTTATCGGGTCACAGATTATATCCAACAGCAATTATGAAACCTGAGATCACTCATTATTATTTTAATCGATATATCGAAATTGGCTACACGGTGGGTCGATCCCTTGTTCAAGGAGCCCTGCTAAGTATCTGAAAGAGTCGCACTTTCAGAAATTAATTCTAAACTGGAACAGATGAGAGTAGCTGATCACTAAAAGCTGAAGAATAGAAGGAAGTAGAATATTTCGAAATTGAACTCGATTTCTTATAAAAGTATTGTCACGTGACGTTGGAATATAAACTGAGTTTGGTGCTATTGCAATACTGGAGGATTCTACAGCGCCTGGAAGGTAGACTACCAGCATCATGCGAGTAATGTACAGTGTGATGCTTATCGCGTTAAATTTCTTAAAACGAAACGACGATCGGATTTCATTTAAGATCTTGAAGCTTTTACGATAGCTAAGTCGATAAAATCTCGGTCTATCAGTTGTGTCAGTTGGTTAAAAATTACCGACGTTTCAGGGACTATCTCTGTCCCCATCATTAGGGTCTGATAACAACAGACACTGGCACCGCTGATATCCCTAGAGAATATTATCGAAGACTGAACTTCAATTAATTTTATCTTAGTTACACAGCTAATGAGCCGATAAGAGTGGCCGCGTGGTCTAAGGCATGAACAGTCTTCGCTCGCTCGAACAATAGGGTCGTGTATTCGAATCTGTGTACGTTTATTCTGGTTTTTGTGTTGTTCCGTGTATAGGTAGAGGCTTTGCGACGAGCTGATCCCCGTCCAAGGAGTTCACTGACTCTATATAGGATTAATAAACTGAGAACCAGCTGAAACCCAAAAAAGGGCTGTAGAGCCATATATAGGTAATGAGCATGCTGGAGTGGCTGTAGAATTTTGGACTTGTAAACTTGAGGTTAAAAACTCGGCAGGATTTTCAGTTATCCTACATAAGGATTTCCGTTCTTATTGGAAGTGAAAGACTGGAAACAGGCCACGACCATTTCCTTCTAAATCCTTACCTACTCAGTATTTAGTACAGCTGGCAACATAGCTCGGAATAGATGCGCAGTTTGGTCAAGTATAAGAGGTATTAACGAAAAGGCACAAAACTGATTGCCAGCACTGTCCGTCCCGCCCTCTCAACTTACATATAGACAAGATACTTACGGGCATAGCCTGTCCAGTTCTTCCTTATTCATGGAGAATCCAAACTCGTTATCATCTGTAAGAACTCGAATCGGGTTCACGCATTTTATCAGCTCTTCAGTCTTGTTGCAGTCTTGGGACGCCACTACACTCCACACTGGAACAAACGAGAAGTGAATAAACCTCCGTACGTCTTAAGATATTGTGGCTATAGACCCGTTGCTAAGAGGTGACTCTGTGAACAGTGGCCGTTGCTACGTAACGACCGCAGCATACATCTATGCGGTGACGTCACGCAACAATGAAAGACGTGTTGCAAGAGGCGTTCTCTGTGGGTCCGCTTCGAGGCTATATACCTCGACCATATGTATACGATTATATAACAAATGACAGATCCGACCTCTCGTCAGAGAACGCGCCCCAAATGGACAGGACAGTAACTTTCATATAAAAAAAAAATTCTGGTCATGAGCCCCAGTCGGGGCTCGACACCAAGACAGACAGACTGACTGACCGTCAGTCGCAATGTGACTTTGACTTGACGATTATATAAGGCCAGTTCCACCCGTGTGGAGGCGGGGTCGAATACCTCCACCGTGACCCTGCGAGTCGTAGGCGGCGACGAAAAGGGAAGTCTCAAATCTGAGACATTAAAATACGGTCGCGAGTCCCAAGGGACGCGGACCCGAGGAAGACTGCGCTAGCAAGGGCCAGTAGCATGTAAAAAAAGAGAGACCCGTCCTCTCGTTAGAGAGGACGCCCCACAAAAAACAAAACCGTAAAGTTCAACAGTAATAAATATCTGGTCATGAGCCCCAAAGACTTACTGACTGACTGACTGAACGTCAGTCGCAATGTGACTTGGACTTGGACGATTATATAACAATACTGTGCAGGCGACAAGCAGAAGTCATAAGAAATTATGAGAATGAACATGTTCTAGAGAAGGTGAAGCCGGACATAGAAAATATACGTGTAAGAGGCTTAAACTTGGCGGTGGTCAAGCTTACAATCGTTCAAGTGACCAAGCTGCCGTTGTAGCATGACATGTAAGACAGGCATGGTCTGCTCTGTAAAGTCTGTACTAATAGGGGCCTTGTATATAAGGCAAAACGAAGAATTCTCAGCAACACGCTATATGTGCGAAATGTACGTTTGACTAAAACCAAGCATATTCATAAGAGACAGACCCATCTTCTTGTCAGAGAGGATGTTACATAAGGACTATTACCGCAAGAGTGCAATTAAAAAGAATCTCTAGTCGTGGTGACAAGGAGCTTGAAGCCAAGATGAACTGATTGGCGTCAAGCCTCCAGTCGTAAGGTAACTCTGACTTTGAAAGTTCCAGTCGGTCGAATGAAGTGACGTGAAGTAGACGGAGGTCGTTCAGTGGAGGAGTTGAGTTAGTGCAGTGCAATGCAGTGCAGTGCAGTGAGCTGGTTGGTGAGTGAATGAGTTAGAGGACCGCTGCAGTTCAGTCCTTATTAGCTGCTGCTGCTAGAAGCTAGTAGCTGAGGCACGGGGACAGTTCGGAAAGTCAAGAGTAAGGGGAACGCCCGCCGTTAGAAGTCGCTAGCGTCGTACGGAAATTTCCTGCCAATATGTTTCAGCAATGTTTTCGGCAGCTATATCAACGTTGGCAGACTTGCATAGCGGCCAACGGCGACTGTTCTGAGGGCCGATGTGGATCTGCGTAAGTGTATGTGAATACCTTGTTATATGTTGCGATAAAACCACAGTCTACGAACTTAATGACTACCACGTAAAGTTCCGGCCAGGATTGCTGGACACGAGAAAGAAATCACCGTCCATTTTCAGGTTAAAAAAATATAGAGGTTTTTGTTTCTTAAGCTCTGCCGCGGCTTAGAGCCGTCGCTTCATCCGTGCTGGGACTGTGATTCTGCTCACGTACGGACTGAAAACTTGTTGTTTCATAAAGACGGAGAGACAACACGTCGGGGAGTGAGGGGGGGGGCTCGCAACGCCGCCGTTTTCTGTTAGGCAACTAAGGGACTTGATGCAAGCAAAACAATGCCACTACCTCACTTATTAATTCTGTATCAAGACATTTTCTTAATAAAACTAAACTTCTCAGGAACTCTGCTTGGATGCAACCAACCTGTTTATGCTTCACAATTATATATGCTACAACAGAGAGTAAACTCAGTCTGTAACTGATTTTTACTTCGTGTTGTCTCGTACAGACCTGTCGCTAGGCAAGTAAATATACAACAGCCGTTGCTAGGTGGCGGCTCCTCCAACAGACGAAAGTAACATTTCCAACGGCAACGATTGGACTACAACAAAGGTGAGCGGAGTTTTCTAAGCGGTCCGTACCAAGAATTTATAAACGGGACAGGTGGAGCAACGACTCACTTGTGGGGTATTCGCCAGACGGTAAGGACGTACGCAGGGGGCATTGTCAGAATCCTCTACCGGGAAACGACTAGTGCAAACATAGAAGACTTTGTGTGTGTTTCAGTTACAGTGAGGCTGTCACCAACTCAGACCCCGTCTACAGTCACAATCCTAAATCTTGACAACAAACTAATTCCATGCAGCTGAGCCCTTGAAAAGCCGCCAGTTGAGCAGCTACTCAAGAATTTCCCAATATTTTATGGAACCCGAAATTTCATTACCGTGTTCAAAGGAGCCCTACACTGGTTCATGTCCTGAACCAGATCAACCCAGTCAATACCACCTCATCGTATCTCTCTAAAATCCTTTTGAGATTATCCGCCCGCCCACGTTTTCGTTTTCCTAGTTGTCTCTTTCTTCCTGGTTTTCCCACCAATATCCTACATGCATTCTTCTTCTCTCCCATTCGTGCTGCATGCTCTGCCCATCTAATCCTCCTTGAATTGACCATTCTAATTATACTTGGAGAAGAGTACAAGTCATGAAGCTGCTCATTATGCAGTTTTCTCCAGCCTCTCTCTTCAGTGGTACATTCATACATACGTGCATGTTAAAGTTGTCACAATCCAATACTGAATCTCTTTGTTACGTCTGAGGGTCTCACCGCAGAGAATATGAAGATTACTATCTCCTGGGGTGCACCTCCGTTCAGTCGGGTAAAAGCACAGATTGCGCCTGCAGTGTGCTAGGGGTAAGCTAGGCAACAGCAAGGCTCGCGACCGGCTTTCATTAAAACACCTGGATCTTTTTACATAACAACACGTTTCGAAAAAACTTCGAGAGAAAAGCCTGTGCTGAACCCCAAATTGCCCAGCTAACATTCTTTTGAATTGTAGCGTGCAGACCCGTTGCTTGGTAACGCTCGTTGCTGGAGCGACGTATGCACACTCCCGCGGAAATAGGCGGATGTCCAAAGAACGGTGTTTTCTGCGCGGGCAGTGCCGAGGAGTTATAAGGAACAGTTGGGACGACCAAGTCAGTCCCGTGTGGAGGCGGGGCCGAATACCTCCACCGGACCCTGCGAGTCGTAGGAGGCGACGAAAGGGGAGCCCAGTGTCTGTGGCTATAACCGGGTCACCCTGCTCCCGGGAGATATAAATACGGGGACCTGGGCCCCCAGCCTGGAAGAGTCTCGAATCTGAGACAGTAGGATATGTTAATGAGTCCCACGGGACTCTGACCTGAGAATAAATGTGCTGACGAGGACCATCAGCAATTGTAAACGACAGACCCACCTTCTTGTCAGGGAGGATGTTACATAAGGACTATAACCGTAAGTGTTCAGCTGGAAAATAAAATTACTGGACGTGAGTCTCAAGGAACTTGTCGCCAAGACGATCTGATTGGTGGTAAATCGCCGTTCTCAAAGTAACTCTGATTCTGACTCTGATTCTGAACAGAGAGAGTCGGAAGGTTCCACCATTCGAAGAGGACTTGAGCGCGTAAGCTGAAGGATCTCGACTGTTAGAAGCCGTTAACAGGGAACGGTTGGCGAAGACACAACAGGTTGCAAAAGATTAAGGGTATGTTATAGCGATTTGTAAAGTGTTGAAATTAGCTATGGCATTGTAATTAAGTATAGTTGCGAGTCGTGTGTGTACCTGGTAAATAAATCCAATCTCCAATCCAAAACCCCGTCTAGAATCACACATACACGTGACAGTATTTATACGCTGTAAAATATTATTACTCTCAAGTGTTCACTTTCTCTGCGATTAATTGGACTCTAATTGTCTACAGAAAATGTAGAAACCTTCAGCTTCACACGTAGGTTAGGATATTTGTGTTACTACACCTCTAAGAAAATTAATACTACACGAAATACAAAGGTGCTAAGTGACATAGGCCATTTCTTCATATTCATAGTCTGCAACCTAATAGGGTTACACAGAAATTAAAATTAATATTTTAAGTTTCTGCTCCGAAAAACTCAACTTCCCTCAAGAGCAATTAATCTCAACCACTACTCCACTACCCTCCCGCCCGGGCCACCAACATTAAAAGGAAACTTGAGCAGTACAGTCAGATTCAAATCAAACATATTAGGTACTAACCATTTAAATATGGGGACCTGACTCTACAGATTGTGGGGTCTCGAATCTGAGACAGTAAAATTTTGACATGAGTCTGGCGGGACTACATGACCCGAGAATGATTGCGCTGGCGAGGGCCAACAGCAACTGTAAACGAGAGACCCGTCCTCTCGTGAGAGAAGGTGTTTCATAAAGACTATGACTGCAAGGTTTCAGTTGAAAAAAAATACTGGTCGTGAACCTCAAGGGGTTGGCGCCAGGACGAACTAAAAGGTGGCAAACCGTCATTTGCAAATTAATTCTAACTCGGAACTGTGGTTCAGTCAGTTTAGAGTTGCTGTTGTGAAAAATGAGAAGCCAGTAGCTGAGGCCGGGAATAGTTCGGGAACTTAGTTCGTCGTTGGAAGCCGATACCGAGCAACGGCTAGTGAAGTCTTAGAAGACTTTATATGTTCTGTAGTTACAGAAATCTTTGGAGTAACTCATCGAGACTGTCGTAGTTATTTGTAGTTACAAGTGTAATTGTTCAATGAATCCAATTAGCAATCCAGACCCTGTCTATAGTCGCTCGATCACGTGCGGAATGTTCCGGACAGAACTGAGCCAGCTCCAAACGTCAACATGAGACAGACTGCCGAATTGGATGATGGCCGAAGAACGGCAGACATCTTGTCGCTGGTGTTTAAATAATGAATAGGTTTCAAGA